CACACACACACACACACACACACACACTCTCACACACACACCGCTTTTGTGAAAGAGACATTTTGTGCTCCTCGGATGATGAAAATAGAACGGCGCTCTAATTACTTTTTTATAGGACTGAGTAATTCATGAATATGCATGAAGCACGAGATGCATGTTTCGTCAGCTCCTGAGGAACCTGTCACCCTTCATGATTCTTCACAGCTCCGGAGAGGAGAGGAGAGGAGGCATTATTTTACGCCTTTTAGTGTAGTGCTGCTGGCGAGCCGTAGCGTCACATTAACACTCGCTGCTGTTTTCTGGCGTGTGAGCTTGTGCTGATCGTCAGCTCTCACTTCTGAAGGAGAGCGAGAGCTTTCTGAAGCAGATGAACAGAAGTGTTCTCCAGCAGACAGCGAACGGCTCTCACACGCTTCATTTAGCTTTTGCTCACACTGCAAAAAAAACTAAAAACACTTAAAGCCTTTATATTTATTGCGTTATAATCATATGAGTGCATTACCCTAGTAAAAAAGTAAAACTAAGTATATTTCAAACCTATTAACATATTTAGTGACATATCAATTAAAGTGCATTAAGCACAAAATTAATTGTTCCAATTTAGCAGACTTGAAGTATACCAGTTTAGTACACTAAAAGTACAATTGCAGGGTATTTTTATTAAGTACATAAATATGTAAATGTATTTGTAGTATACTTAGCATAAAATATGTGTATTTCAAATACATTTTAGTATTTGTTTTTCACTAGGATACTTATGCTTTGTCATGCACATTATGATGCATTGCATGATCTCATGAATAATTGTAACTACAGTACAATATATTATAATACTTACCTGTTCATTGTTACGTCTTTAGAAAGACACGATAAACAAACCTTCAAATATTACAAAGCATTTTAACTTTGGTTACACCCTAGTGAAAAATAAATATACTCAAATGTATTTGAAATACATTTATTTCATGCTAAGTATACTACAAATACATTTTCATATTTATGTACTTAATAAAAATACCCTGCAATTGTACTTTTAGTGTACTAAACTGGTATACTTCAAGTCTGCTTAATTGTAACAACTAATTTTGTGCTTAATGCACTTTATTCGTGCAGAAGTCCAACTAAAGATATACTGAAGTATATTTAATTGTGCTAAAGTGGAACTATTGCAAGTACACTATTATGCCTCTATGATGCATTACACACAAAGGGTTTGAGTGAGTTTTACCATGATTTTTGTCTTGTTTTCCGTCACAGATGCCAAAATGACTTTTGAGCAAAAAGGTCTTGTTTTTTGCGAAACTGATCAAAATGAAGTGAGTCAGAATAAAAAAAAACTTGATTCAAAGCGATTCTTTTTAAAACCTCGTCGTCAGATATTACTAACTCGCTGCATTCTGATGCATTTAAAACAAGACTTGATATCTGAAGTCTTCTCCAGTAAATGCATCTTGACTTAAGGATGTCTAGATATTTTTACTGGAAAACAAGACAAGAGCAGCAGGTTTTGCGGTGTTTATGACAGACAGACAGGTTTAACGCTGCAGATGTTAGTTTGACTCCAGCTCTGCGTCTGTTTTTCCAAGCCTTTATATTTATTGCGTTATAATCATATGAGTGCATTACCCTAGTAAAAAAGTAAAACTAAGTATATTTCAAACCTATTAACATATTTAGTGACATATCAATTAAAGTGCATTAAGCACAAAAATAGTTGTTCCAATTTAGCAGACTTGAAGTATACCAGTTTAGTACACTAAAAGTACAATTGCAGGGTATTTTTATTAAGTACATAAATATGTAAATGTATTTGTAGAATACTTAGCACAAAGTAGGAGTTTTTTTTTTTTTGATAACTTGGATTTTACTGCTTTGAGAATAAAGCTGCACCAAGCTCAATAAGGAAATGTCCAAGGAAGTCTGATAAAATATCTCAGTCACGTTTTATATAGTTATGTTTAATGATGTGAGAGCTGTGAAAGTTGGCCAACAACAAACGAAATACTTAGCATAAAATATGTGTATTTCAAATACATTTTAGTATTTGTTTTTCACTAGGATACTTATGCTTTGTAATGCACATTATGATGCATTGCATGATCTCATGAATAATTGTAACTACAGTACAATATATTATAATACTTACCTGTTCATTGTTACGTCTTTAGAAAGACACGATAAACAAACCTTCAAATATTACAAAGCATTTTAACTTTGGTTACACCTTAGTGAAAAATAAATATACTCAAATGTATTTGAAATACATATATTTCATGTTAAGTATACTACAAATACATTTTCATATTTATGTACTTAATAAAAATACCCTGCAATTGTACTTTTAGTGTACTAAACTGGTATACTTCAAGTCTGCTTAATTGTAACAACTAATTTTGTGCTTAATGCACTTTATTCGTGCAGAAGTCCAACTAAAGATATACTGAAGTATATTTAATTGTGCTAAAGTGGAACTATTGCAAGTACACTATTATGCCTCTATGATGCATTACACACAAAGGGTTTGAGTGAGTTTTACCATGATTTTTGTCTTGTTTTCCGTCACAGATGCCAAAATGACTTTTGAGCAAAAAGGTCTTGTTTTTTGCGAAACTGATCAAAATGAAGCGAGTCCGAATAAAAAAAAACTTGATTCAAAGCGATTCTTTTTAAAACCTCGTCGTCAGATATTACTAACTCGCTGCATTCTGATGCATTTAAATATTTTTTTGTTAATGTTCATGTTAGCTCAGGTGCATTAAATAATACAGTTAAAACTTTTGATTTTAATAACGTGTTATTAAATGTTGAAATTAACAAAGATTAATAAAGGCTTAGAAGATATTTTTGTCAAATGCATTCAAGTGCCCACTATAACAATATCATGCATGCTCATTACTGTGATATATCGTATTACTGGACACCGTCTAATTGTGTGCATTCTTTGATTCACTGATCTGAAAAAGACTTGATTTTCTTCTTACAGCTGAACTGACTCTGCATGACTGATTCTGTTATGTTCCTGTGTATCTGCGTGAAGCTGCTCTGAATCGGTCTCTACCGTATAAAGCTGATGTTTGGTGTGGTTTCTGTAGAGAACAGTGACATCAGTCAAGCGCTGTCCAAGCTGACGGAGCCCGCAGCCGTCCCCATGCACAAGCTGTCTGTCTCCAGCATGATGCACAGCGCGAGGAAACGCATCCGGAGAAACAGACGCGCCGAGGAGTCGCCGCTACACAACCACGTGCTCAACTCCATCCTGCTGGTGAGAGCATGCTGGGTGTTTACACGGGCCTCACTGTGAGGATGAGGATGATGAAGGGCCATGCATCGGAGCAGACTAGTGTTGAGAGTAACACTTTACAAGTAATATGTGATTACAGTGTGACCCTGGAGCACAAAACCAGTCATAAGGGTAATTTTTTTTAATTGAGATGTATACATCAGCTGAAATCAGAATAAATAAGCTTTCCATTGATGTATGGTTTGTGAGGATCGGACAATATTTGAAAATCTGGAATCTGAGGGTGCAAAAAAATCTAAATATTGAGAAAATCATCTTTAAAGTTGTTCAAATGAAGTTCTTAGCAATGCATATTACTAATCAAACATTAAGTTTTGATATATTTACGGTAGGACATTTACTAAATATCTTCATGGAACATGATCTTTACTTAATATCCTAATGATTTTTGGCATAAAAGAGAAATGTATAATTGTGACCCATACAATGTATTGTTGGCTATTGCTACAAATATCCCCCAGCGACTTAACACTGCTTTTGTGCTCCAGGGGTGAACGCATTAACACTAATGAGCAATATTTCTTACAGAAGTTATTTTTTTGTTAATGTTCATGTTAGCTCAGGTGCATTAAATAATACAGTTAAAACTTTTGATTTTAATAACGTGTTATTAAATGTTGAAATTAACAAAGATTAATAAAGGCTTAGAAGATATTTTTGTAAAATGCATTCAAGTGCCCACTATAACAATATCATGCATGCTCATTACTGTGATATATCGTATTACTGGACACCGTCTAATTGTGTGCATTCTTTGATTCACTGATCTGAAAAAGACTTGATTTTCTTCTTACAGCTGAAATGACTCTGCATGACTGATTCTGTTATGTTCCTGTGTATCTGCGTGAAGCTGCTCTGAATCGGTCTCTACCGTATAAAGCTGATGTTTGGTGTGGTTTCTGTAGAGAACAGTGACATCAGTCAAGCGCTGTCCAAGCTGACGGAGCCCGCAGCCGTCCCCATACACAAGCTGTCTGTCTCCAGCATGATGCACAGCGCGAGGAAACGCATCCGGAGAAACAGACGCGCCGAGGAGTCGCCGCTACACAACCACGTGCTCAACTCCATCCTGCTGGTGAGAGCATGCTGGGTGTTTACACAGGCCTCACTGTGAGGATGAGGATGATGAAGGGCCATGCATCGGAGCAGACTAGTGTTGAGAGTAACACTTTACAAGTAATATGTGATTACAGTGTGACCCTGGAGCACAAAACCAGTCATAAGGGTAATTTTTTTAAATTGAGATGTATACATCAGCTGAAATCAGAATAAATATGCTTTCCATTGATGTATGGTTTGTGAGGAGAGCACAATATTTGGCTGAGATACAACTATTTGAAAATCTGGAATCTGAGGGTGCAAAAAAATCTAAATATTGAGAAAATCATCTTTAAAGTTGTACACACACACGCTGGCACTCACTCACTCACACACACTCGCTCGCACTCACTCACTCACACACACACTCGCACTCACTCGCTCGCTCACACGCATTTACACACACGCACTCAAACACACTCACACGCACTCACACTCTCTCACACACACGCACTCACACACACACACGTGCACTCACACACACGCACTCACACACGCAGTAATGCATTACTTTACATAAAGAGTAACTAAGTAATGCAGTTAGTACTGTTTTTATGGAGTAACACAATATTGTAATGCATTACTTTTCAAAGTAGCTTTCTCCCATACTGGTAATAATACAGTAAAACGGGGTATCTTGTGTGTTTTACTGTGGGCTCATGTAGGTGAATACGTATATATACTTATACTGTATATATATATATATATATTTATATGCTTTACTGCATCCAGTTTAGACATAGTCAAAGTCACCTTCACTTCTATAGCACTTTATACAGTTAAGATTGTTACAAAGCAGCTTCACAGTATTACACAGGAAAATAACAGAATCAATGATGCAGATTTCTGGTTTGGAAGATGTATGTGCATAAGAGAGATATGGACAGAAATATGAGGCTTGTGTGAACAAACATCTCTGTTTTTAAAGCGCAGGTCATGTTTGGAGGGTTGGATGTTTCTGCCCTTTTCCACCAGCATCATAAACCTCTGTTGTGCCGTGCTTGTGTTTGTCCATCAGTATCTGTTCCCGGACGCAGCTCTGGATAAAGCAGACTGGAGCGAGGTCAGATCCACGCAGGAACCGGATCACGTGAGTCTCCGTCAGTCACTGGCTCAGATGCAGAGGATTGAACACGTCTCTGTGATGATGTGACGGTGTTCTCCTGTCAGCAGCACCTCTATAATCAGCTGAAGTCTGCTCCGAGCGACAGTCTGACGTACCGTCTGGCCCTGTGTGTCTGTATGGTGAACTTCCATCACGGAGGAGTGCGCGCCGTGGCTCACCTGTGGCAGGAGTTTGTGCTGGAGATGCGCTACCGCTGGGAGAACAACTGCCTGATCTACGGGTGAGAGACGCGTTCACAGCAGACCAGAACCTGCTGTTATTACACACACACACACTTCAGCTTCTGCTGCTTTACATGCTGCAGCTCGCTGGATTCTGATTGGCTGTCAGTGCTTTATTAAGGCTGGGATTGAGACGAACTTCACGATTCGATTCAGGTTTGATCTTGATTCGATATCGATTCATTTGGATCTATAGGCAATCAGGTACAAAACTCTAACTAATAAAACAATAAACTGGTACATTACTATAAAAAAAGTGATTTGTAAGGCAGTTTTATAATAAAACATTATTATATAATAAAAATTTAGTTGAATAATTTAATTCATGTCAGATTAATTAGAGCGTACATAAAATACTGACGAACAGGTTCAGTATACATATAATGAATATGTAATATATAGTGCATATGAAGAGTTTATTTGCAAAAACAGATAACTCAGTTTTTTTACATTTTCAAAAATCATGTTTTTATTGTGTTAGTTAGCTGTATTTTTTTAGTTATTTTTTAACCTAATCAAAATAACCCGACTGCAGTTTGATTGAGATTAATTCTAATGCACAATGAAAAAACGTGATTTTTGAAAACTGTTAAAAACAGAGTTGTCTGTTTTTGCAAATTAACACTTCATATATTGATCAATTTTTTTAGCTGACTATATCGAGTTTATAGTCATTAAATGCCTTTCCTAAGGTAGATGTGACGTTATTGGTGCGTTTGAATCACTGATTGATCTATTAGATGAATCATGGTCATCTCAGTTCTGATGTTCGATGTTTATTTGCTGCTATAACTAGTAGTAAAGCGAAAGAGCCGATCGCTTCCCTACAGCATCTGTCAGCACACAATAAAGAGCCACAAAACCACATTTAGTGATCAAACTGATGGAATTTCAAGGCTGAGACTGTGCTTCATATCAAAAGTAACAAAACAGATTATTGCAATTTACTTGATGGCAGAAGCTACAAATTATGTTTGATACATGTTTGAACTGAACTGAAAACAGCATAGATTTTTGGGATTTAAGAATAGATATCGGTTCATCGACCAAATTGATATTTACAACCCAGCCCTAGTTTTTATCATTCATCATCTGGAAAAATTGTTTGAAAAAGATTCCAGCGATTATCATTTCTCTGTGTCGTTATAGTCGCGCGGTGGACTTTGCTGTTCTTTTAGAGTTAGAGTGATTATTATGTTATTGTTATCGTCTTGAGTGATGTGTATTTGTCCTGGATCTCCTCTGATTCACAGAAATGAATCAGGCTGGCTTAATCTGTTGCAGTTTTAAAGCAGTTTAAATGAGAAACGCTGTTAGTATTTCTGTGTGTGAACGCTCTCAGACTCACGATTCCTGTCTGAAGTCTGTAGGACAGTTCATGGCCAAATAACAGGCACGTAAAAATATATATTTTCCAGTGTTTGTAATATATGCATTATCTCCTTCTGCAGTTCAGAGGCGTGGCGCGGGGGTCTGTGCTCGCGCTCGTGGTTCGAGTCTGTTCTGTCTGTTCTGTTGAACCAGAGTCTGTAGGGAGCGAGCTGCAGTCATTGATAACAATAACCCCGCGCTCTGCGGCTGCTGGCGTCTTTGTGTGCTAACGAGCGAAGCGTCTTCCTGATTGTGTAATGACCGCCTCTGTGTTGCTCTCTCAGGCTGGCCAGCGGAGCTCCGGATCTCAGGTGTTGTCTTCTTCATCAGAAACTGCAGGTGAAGCTCCACCGCCGGACCCTCGCTGTATACCGTCACGTCTGGGGAAAAACTGCACTTCCATGATGTACTATTTACACGCATTAATTTTGTACTCAATATACTAAAAGTTATTCTTTAGTACTTGAGTGCATCGTTACCACTTGTAGTACACTTGAACCCACTAGGGTATGAAAGATGGGTTCAAGTGTACCACAAGTGGTATCTAAATACGTTTTATAAATACAGAGATACATCATGGAAGTGCACTTGGGTGAGCATCCTCAAACACGTGATAGACGTGTAAAATCAGACAGTCTTTGGCAGATTGAAATGAATCGCTGAACTCAACCTGTTTGTGAAAATATCATCATTTTAACTTCAGCTCCAGCGTTATGCACAGAATGAACTAAAGTTGGCTGTAAAATGAAAACAAATGTGTTTTAAGCAGTTAGATTTCTTGGATGAAAAATATAAATCTCTTCTACTTGTTTATCTGACTGTACTGTAAATTTGTCCATTGGTTGTATTTCATTTTTCCACAGACATTATTTGATTATTCTTACAAATGATTGAAAGCAGGCACATTATATCTAGTTAAAGTCAACATTAAATGAAAATGTACTTTATTAATAATGAGATTCAGTGTTGGAAGAAAGAAAGTCACACAGGAGAACGACATGAGAGCAAGTAAAGGATTGTTTATAATATAATACCGTTCAAAAGTCTGGGGTCAGCACAAATGAACACTTTTACTCATCAAGGATGCATTAATTTGATCAAAAGTGACAGCAAAGACATTTATAATGTTACAAAATGTTTTTATTTCAAATACATTCTGTTCTTTTGAACTTTCTGTTCATCTGTGAATCCTGAAAAATAAAATGCATCACGGTTTCCACAAAAATATTGTGCAGCACGACTGTTTTCAACATTGATAATAATCAGAAATGTTTCTCGAGCAGCAGATCAGCATATTATACTGATTTCTGAAGATCATGTGACACTGAAGACTGGAGTAATGATGCTGAAAATACAGCTGCACATCACAGAAATACATTACAGTTTAACAGATATTCACACAGAAAATGGATATTTTAAATCATAATAATATTTCACATTTTTTACTGTATTTTTGATCAACTTAAATGCAGCCCTGATGAGCAGAAGAGACTTCTTGAGAAATGTTTCTGTGTTTAATGTGGCTGTGCACCCATCAGATGCTGAACTGCTGCATCGAGCGCAAGCGAGCGAGGGATGATGGGAGGAAGAGCGGCGCGTCAGACGCGGCCAGGAGCCTCCCGGGGCCCGCCGAGGTTTCTCCGGGGAAGTCCTGGGACTCGTGGAGCGACAGCGAGGAGGAGTTCTTCGAGTGTCTGAGCGACACGGAGGAGATGAAGGAGACGGAGAGCGAGAAAAAGACGGCCAGTAAGAGCAAAGCTGTTGATATTTTAAATCCTAATAATATTTCACAATTTTTACTGTATTTTTGATCAAATAAATGCAGCCTTGGTGAGCAGAAGAGACTTCTTGAGAAATGTTTCTGTGTTTAATGTGGCTGTGCACCCATCAGATGCTGAACTGCTGCATCGAGCGCAAGCGAGCGAGGGATGATGGGAGGAAGAGCGGCGCGTCAGACGCGGCCAGGAGCCTCCCGGGGCCCGCCGAGGTTTCTCCGGGGAAGTCCTGGGACTCGTGGAGCGACAGCGAGGAGGAGTTCTTCGAGTGTCTGAGCGACACGGAGGAGATGAAGGAGACGGAGAGCGAGAAAAAGACGGCCAGTAAGAGCAAAGCTGAAGGTCGCCTGCAGCCGCATGGCAAGCGGACTCTTCTGAACTCAGCGGAGCCGCTCTACATCCCCGTCACACAGGTCAGGACTGCTTAGATGATGCTTGTGCTGAACCCGTCTGTTTACAATGCTACAACTTATCTTTAGAATCATCGTTTAACTGCTGCATTTGAGCTGAAAAACTACATTTCCCATGATGCTACAGAAAAGAATAGCAGCAAGCGTATTGCATTTGCTGCTTGGTTTGCTTCGAGAAGCCTTCGTGTGTGTATATATACAGTATATATATTAGGGCTGTCAGTCGATGAACATTTTTAATCTAATTAATTGCATGATGTTTCTATTAATTCATCTAATTAATCACAAAATAAATTTGACAGTAAAAAGCTTATCTTTAGAATCATCGTTTAACTGCTGCATTTGAGCTGAAAAACTAAATTTCCCATGATGCTACAGAAAAGAATAGCAGCAAGCGTATTGCATTTGCTGCTTGGTTTGCTTCGAGAAGCCTTCGTGTGTGTATATATACAGTATATATATTAGGGCTGTCAGTCGATTAACATTTTTTATCTAATTAATTGCATGATGTTTCTATTAATTCATCTAATTAATCACAAAATAAATTTGACAGTAAAAATACCCACAATAGATTATTTAAAGCTAGTTTTGTGTTAAATGAGAAAGTATCAAGTAGACATTAGAGCTGGGCGGTATTATCGTATATATCGACGATGTCTCGTAAGTATCACGATGTCAACAGTCAGGTAACAGACGATTATCGGCATTATCGGAAAAAATTACAAATAATAAACCTAGTATGTTGCAAAAAATATTTTACATAGCACCATAGTCCCATATATATATATCTTTTATAATACGTTTCCAGTCTCAGCTCGTCGTTCAGTGCCTTTAATTGTTGTGCGGTTTAAGTGTTGTCGCTCTTAGTGATGCACCGAAATATCAGTAACTGAACATTGATTTTTGAGGGAAAACATTGACCGAAACATGACTGTGTTAGCATCTATTTGTTGATTAACTATATCCATTTCTCATTTTTTTAAGTGATCTTTATTTTGATGGACTGGTATTTATTTATTTGAACCCAATATCGATCTTTTAGTCTGTTTAGTTTTCAGTTGATGCGTGAACAAAACTTCACTAAACATCATTTGTAACTTTTGTGCTTTGTTACTTTTGAATCTTTTATAATACGTTTCCAGTCTCAGCTCGTCGTTCAGTGCCTTTAATTGTTGTGCTGTTTAAGTGTTGTCGCTCTTAGTGATGCACCGAAATATCAGTAACTGAACATTGATTTTTGAGGGAAAACATTGACCGAAACATGACTGTGTTAGCATCTATTTGTTGATTAACTATATCCATTTCTCATTTTTTTAAGTGATCTTTATTTTGATGGACTGGTATTTATTTATTTGAACCCAATATCGATCTTTTAGTCTGTTTAGTTTTCAGTTGATGCGTGAACAAAACTTCACTAAACATCATTTGTAACTTTTGTGCTTTGTTACTTTTGATATGAAACAAAGTCTCAGAATTTAAATTCTGTCCATTTTCTCACTAAATGCAGTCAGTATGCTGGTTTGTGGCTGACGGATCTCTTCCGCTTTACTACTAGTTACAGCAGCAAATAAACATGAATGAACAGCAGAAGAAACATAACAACTCGCTGAAATTAAACATGAATCATGTTTCAACTGCGGAAAGACGTCAATAAAACAAATTGTGAACAATATGTCAGGAAAGCCGTTCAGTGTCCATAAACTAGACAGCATTGTGTGTGACTGAATAAGCCTGTGTGAGAGCAGGTGTTTACGACAGGCGCGCGGGAGAGCGGATGAGTGGAGAAACTCTCACAGGGGTTTGCTGTGGTGGAGCACAACGAGATGGTGTTAAGATTGCTCTGGAAAACAAGAGAGAGGCTTGCTTGAGTGCAGGAAGATAAAGCATGCTGTTTGAAACATCAGTGCTGTTATACGTCTCAAACTCTTCCACAGTCTTTAGCAGACAGTTTTATTCACCGGTTCTTTACGCTGGGTGGTGATTTCCTCCGGGTGAGTGTGTGTGTGTGTGTGTGTGTGTTTATAAAGCGGAGAGTTCCGGTGCTTGACTCTGATTGGCTGAGCCGCGTTCGAAGCTGTTGTAAATGACGCTACAAAGTAACACACACCTTTGTTTACGTTTGTGTGTTGCTCGGCAACTACTTTGTAGCAACCACAACTGTTTCTGAGGAGCTACATTGTTTGGTGGAAGAATACTGTGTTTATTAATATCATTACACTTTATTTGCTCTGCTTTATTTTGTGTAATCTTACTACGTATATGCAATAACCGTTTTATAAAAGCAGTAACCCCCGTGAAGCTTCGCGTCGTGCCTAACAACGCCCCGTAGCTGTTCTAAATTCACTGTAAACCACGGCTTCACGGGGCTTATTTTTGTGTAATCTTACTACGTGTATGCAATAACCGTTTTATAAAAGCAGTAACCCCCGTGAAGTCTGCGTCGTGCCTAACAACGCCCCGTAGCTGTTCTAAATTCACTGTAAACCACGGCTTCACGGGGCTTATTGCTTTAATCTTTACTCTTCGTAAGCATTGTGTTTTCATCTGTATGGCTGAACAGACTCTTTAAATCATGAAGGAGCTGCACCATATTTAATATAATCATCACTTCCGGCCTTCTTGGTTGTAGATGATGTCTGCACGATCCATAATAGTTTGTGACATCAGATTATTCTTTGTTTAGTTATGTATGTTTTCGTAGGAGAAATGAAGCTGTTGAACCGGGCCAGCGGCACCTTGTTGTTCCTTCACACCGAGGCACAAAGGTGTTTTCCAGAACCTCCGCCTAGGGCGGCTCGATTAGGACAAATCATAATCACGATTATTTTGGTCAATATTGTAATCACGATTATTTAAGAGTGGGCCATATGACCAAAACTTTATATGAATGATTTAGTTAAAGATAGTGATATATATCAAATATATATTTTCTGTAAATAAGGTTGCTATGACATCTACAATTTAGATGCCAGCGAAATGCCACAATTCTCAACACCCTGGAGCACTAAACCAGTCATGAGGGTCAATTTTATTAAAATTGAGATGTATGCATCATCTGAAAGCTGAATAAATCATCTTTCCACTGATGTATGGTTTGTTAGGATCAGACAATATTTGAAAATCTGGAATCTGAGGGTGCAAAAAAATCTAAATATTGAGAAAATCATCTTTAAAGTTGTTCAAATGAAGTTCTTAGCAATGCATATTACTAATCAAACATTAAGTTTTGCCAGCGGCACCTTGTTGTTCCTTCACACCGAGGCACAAAGGTGTTTTCCAGAACCTCCGCCTAGGGCTGCTCGATTAGGACAAATCATAATCACGATTATTTTGGTCAATATTGTAATCACGATTATTTAAGAGTGGGCCATATGACCAAAACTTTATATGAATGATTTAGTTAAAGATAGTGATATATATCAAATATATATTTTCTGTAAATAAGGTTGCTATGACATCTACAATTTAGATGCCAGCGAAATGCCACAATTCTCAACACCCTGGAGCACTAAACCAGTCATGAGGGTCAATTTTATTAAAATTGAGATGTATACATCAGCTAAAAGCTGAATAAATAAGCTTTCCACTGATGTATGGTTTGTTAGGATCAGACAATATTTGAAAATCTGGAATCTGAGGGTGCAAAAAAATCTAAATATTGAGAAAATCATCTTTAAAGTTGTTCAGATGAAGTTCTTAGCAATGCATATTACTAATCAAACATTAAGTTTTTATATATTTACGGTAGGAAATGTACAAAATATCTTCATGGAACATGATCTTTACTTAATATCCTAATGATTTTTGGCATAAAAGAGAAATGTATAATTGTGACCCATACAATGTATTGTTGACTATTGCTACAAATATCCCCCAGCGACTCAACACTGCTTCTGTGCTGCAGAGACACATATTGATTAATATCAAACACACAGGCGGCAGCAGGAATATAGCTGCTGTCACTTTAAGAGCCGCACGGATCCAATTCACTGTTACACACGTGTTTTCATTCTCAACTCTTTGTTCATTTATTACATAACCTTCACCCTCTCTGCTCCTGCAAACCTCCATCAGGACTGACGAAACCATCACAGCTTTTCCACCCCGCAACCCTAAACCAATGCACTGGCAAAACAACAGTAAACCAAAACGGCGCTTCTCTTCTGCTCGGTTTTTTCTCATCTCTAAACGTGGCACTAAATGCTGTGAATCCCGTGTGGCTCTCACGCTCCTCTATTGTAAATCACCTTGGATAAAAGAATCTGCTAAATTGCAAAAATCGAGTGGAGTGCTGCAGGGACACATATTGATTAATATCAAACACACAGGCGGCAGCAGGAATATAGCTGCTGTCACTTTAAGAGCCGCACGGATCCAATTCACTGTTACACACGTGTTTTCATTCTCAACTCTGTTCATTTATTACATAACCGTCACCCTCTCTGCTCCTGCAAACCTCCATCAGGACTGACGAAACCATCACAGCAACCCTAAACCAATGCACTGGCAAAACAACAGTAAACCAAAACGGCGCTTCTCTTCTGCTCGGTTTTTTCTCATCTCTAAACGTGGCACTAAATGCTGTGAATCCCGTGTGGCTCTCACGCTCCTCTATTGTAAATCACCTTGGATAAAAGAATCTGCTAAATTGCAAAAATCGAGTGGATCGTGTCATAACTGTTATTATTGTGCCGCAGGAGCCCGCGCCCATGACTGAAGACCTGCTGGAGGAGCAGTCGGAGGTTCTGGCCAAACTGGGCACGTCGGCTGAAGGAGCGCACCTCCGCGCCCGCATGCAGAGCGCCAGTGAGTGAGTGAGTGAGTGTGTGAGTGTGTGTGTGTGTGTTAAAAAACATACAAAACGGTGTTTTATGAAATAAAAAAATTGCCAGTAGTTTACTGTAAGGGGTAGGTTTAGGTGTAGGGTTGGTGTAGGGCAGTGGTTCTCAACCTTTTTTTCCACTGGACCGCACAATGGTCCAAGTGCAAGTCTCGCGGGCCGCACGCGTATCATTTACATATGTCACCAATACAAACCAACCAGATTTATAATAGCCTATTATAGCATAAATATTATGATATATAATCGATTACATTCATTGAAATAAATAAATAATTATACTCCCCATTAATAAAACACCTGATGCTGTCGGGAGCTGACCAATTTTGTGAAATTCGTCTGGAAAGGAGCAACAGCACAATGAAGTTGCCATTGTAAGTTGCAGTCTGTAAGATGCACACGGAAGCGTGACTTGACACGTGACATTGCAGAAAATGTGCGTTCACAAATGTAGCCTATGTTGATCCAAATATGGAAAGCACTTTTGAATTTAATAGTCTGAGGTTCTCTCCAGAGACGTTTTGTGACAATTATGACAATTTTCACGTCATAGTTCAGACGCGGGCCAGGCATCGGGCTTGTTTTAGGCGTCTCCTATTTTTATATTTTAGACAGCCATCAATTAGTGATGAAAAAAAAAAATAATTTGCAGTGCTGGTGGAAACAACACGAGACCATGCTACCGTGACTGTAAGAGCGGCTCGACGGTGTTTAGTGTCCAGCAGCAGCGAGCGTGCCGTCAGCGCAGCTGAACAGTTCTGCGTTCAAATGCACACAGTAGGCTTACGCTTGCCGCAAAGCACCGGCGAAAGTAATTACCATGAATGTGTCAGGGGGAAATAGTAAGGAGATATTTGACTTATTTACTAATAAAGTAGTGTTTTCTGAGTCGGTGTCACAAGGATGAACTTGCCATCTCCTCACTAGACGTGCCTTTAGAGAGAAGTGCATCTTTACGGATTATGATTATAATGAAAGAGTTTTTGTTTTGGATTTGTTTTATTTCGTCAAGTAGTAATTTAAAGCTTTCTATAGATATATTTATCATATCTGTGAGGCATGTATTCGCTGAGTTTCGGTTCATTTTTGTAAGCGCTCCTGTTCAAGACCGAGACGGCAGAAAGCGCATCGTGTTTGTTTTCTTTATTTTATAAAAGCACAACGTTTTGTTGATATTGTGAGTGCACACAAATAAAAGTAGATGCTTTACAGTTACGAATGATGTATTACTCTTACCTTTATGAGTAAAAATAACGGCGTATCCACTGAAAAACACAAGTGATCGTGCTGGCGCCTCCGTGTCCTGCAGAGCGTCTCCGCACAAACTACTGGATACAGCGCACATTTATCTAGGTTTAACGTTAAAACATTGTTATATGCTTGAACTGTTTTATATAGATTTTATTTTAGGCAAGTCGTGATGATTTGAGAAGGCTAAATTGATCAAACATAGGCTATGATCAGCTCACTGTCTGCCGCTTGGTCGTTACTAAAAAACAAAACCTTACATTTAACGACCAAAAAATGCTCCAAACGTTTTTCTAAATTAACTTAAAAAAACGAAACGAAATATAATCACTTTGCCGTTACATACAAAACTGAACTATTTTAATATAGCTGAAACGGTAGTATAAGCTGTTTTGGGAGAAGGGGAAAAAAGATGGACTCGGGTCGGTAATTCTGATGAGCTGTCGGACACGGGCCGGGCCAGGGCCTGAACGTCACGGGCCAGGGCCGGGCTAGGGCCTATATTTGAGGCCTGTGCAGGGCTCTAGTCTGAACATCTTCAAGTGAGTGGCGGGGCAAACCGAAAGTCCAGCACTCTCCTACCGTCACTGCTGCGACTACTCTTGTTTGTATGTGTTCCTTCGCTGGCATTTTCCACATTTCGTTTTTCTCCCTTAATAACAAATGTGTCTGATTGCATTCTGATGCTCAATTTTACCGAACTAATGGCTGCTGATGACTATTTGAATTGAACTCTGCCCAAGTGCGTGCTTGTAAGTGTTCGTGTTAATTACGTGAGTAAGGCTACAGGTCTGCTCATGTCTGAAAATAATATATGAAAAATAAAATTATTTTACATGAAAACATTGTAGCTTATATTGGTTTAGTACATTTTTAAATTAATGTAAAAACTAAAATGAATTGTAAAACTGAAAGTTTTTTTTTTTTTTAATTGTGTTCAGCATGATGAGCTGCATTTGAATTCGTGATGGGCCGCGGGTTGAGAACCACTGGTGTAGGGCGATAGAAAATACAGTTTGTACAGTATAAAAAACCATTACACCTATGGAGAGTCCCTGTAAACCACAAATGCGCGTGTGTGTGTGTGTGTGTGTGTGTGTGTGTGTGTGTGTGAGTGTGTGCGCGAGCGAGCGAGCGCGAGAGAGAGAGAGAGAGAGCGAGAGGGGACACATCACAGTGGAGTCAGCTGTCTTAACCGTGGCTTGTGTACTGCACACACATATTTCTCACTGTGTCTGTGACATTAAACGTGTGTGTGTTTATGTGTGTGTGTTTCCACAGGCAGCGAATCCCGGCTGTTGTCTGGAGGATTTCGTGCGCTGGTATTCTCCGAGAGATTACGTGGAGGAGGAAGGGGAGGATGAAGCGGGACAGACGGTCATACGGGGCGACCTGAGCGCCCGCATGAAGATCCCGGGGAACATGTGGGTGGAGGCCTGGGAGACGGCCAAAGCCACGCCGGCCCGCCGACAGAAGAGGCTGTTCGACGACACCAAAGAGGCTGAGAAGGTCAGAACCCTGAGTGTGGATTCGGACGGCCTCGGTCCAGAAACGTGATCCGCTTTTGATTAATATGACCCATTCATTTCAAGCCACACAAACACGATCATTCATTAGAGATGCACCGAGTGTTCAGCAACCGAAATAAGCGAAAAGACTGAGTAAAATGTACCGAAAAATGATGATGTGGTGTGGAAGCATTTAAAACTGTCCAAGAAAAACGCAAAAATCACAGACAGCTGGACTGATTAGCACTGCACCGCATGTCTCCGATGAGAAGAGGATGAATGAAATCGAGAAATAGCCTTGAGCATTTAAATACACTGCAGAGTGTTATGTTTCTAATACAGTATTCTGACAGCAATGACGAGCTCGTTAGCCAGGGTTCAGAGTCCAAAGCGTGAGGAAAACCTGCTCTGAAACCGTGTTACTCGTCAGATGCGCGGTCACATTTGTATTAATTTTCACAAGGCATGTGATGCGTGCGACAAACATCTTCCTGAATTCGTAATGAGACTCATTTATAAATCTGCTGCTGTCAACAAAAAGAAGCGCTGAGGTCTTCCTGCGGGTTTCAACAAAATAACAACTCCCATCAACATTCATAATGTTAGTTTTGTAATTTTACTGTTGATCTGTAAAATAAAACAATAAGTAAGATTATGATAATTATAATTACAACAGCTCTTATTATAACATTCACACACAGTGTTCAAATTGGGATCTGTAATATTTTCTAATGTTTTAAAAGAAGTCTCTTCTCCGCAAGCCTGCGTTTATCTGTACAGTAAAAATACACGCCTGATTCAAGAAGACGGTCTCAAAAATAGCCTAAAAATATTATTTTACCAACTTATTTTAAGTTAAATTGTGCTTTGTTGGTATAATGTCTGCTAGAATGTTAAAAAAAA